CTGCTGCATCCTCCGGTCTCAGCCCCAGTCTCTGGCAAAGCCCCAGGCTAATTTGGGAGAGCTGCAAATTCCATTTTAAATAATGATAATAATAACAACAACTATTAGTTTTTGTAAGTAGTAAGTGTGGAGGGAGGGAGGGTGTGATGTGTACAGGAAAAAAAAAACCAAAAGGTGCCCAAACCACATCAGGTGAGGTGGGGAGAGAGCCCAGGGCAGTGCAGGGAACTCCAAAACCCCAAAATTTGGGCAAAACCCTTCAATTGGCCAAATGTGGGGGTTGTCTCATACCTTGAAGTGGAGCCTGAGCCATCACAGCCCCTTCAGCATTTATTAACAACCCCCTGTTTAACACTACCCACCACCCAGAAAGACAGAAAACAGAGCAAAGGAAACCTTTTAATTGTAATTTACTTTATTATTTTGTAAATGTGAATTTTACAAAGCGTTTTACAATTAATGATCACGTTGGGTTGGGTTTTTTTTTGTTTTTTTTGTTGGTTTTTTTTTTTTAAATGGATTTTTTTTTTTCATCATATGAAAACAGCTACGAGCACAGTTCCAGCTCGGGGTAGGGGAGGGGGTCTTCATCTTTTCTCTCTTTTTTTTTTTTAGTTACTGATATATCATGTCAGCCATGGCTACAAAATAACAGTCTGAACTATACAGAGTAAGAGCACATAAATACTAGTGAATAATGCACGATAAAAAATCAAATCAAATAAAAATAAAATAAAAAAAAAAAAAAGAAGCTAGCATCGTTCATGGCTGAGACAGTTGAGGAACATAATTCAGTGGTACTGTGAGATTTCCTTACAGCACAGAAAGTATTTTTAACAGTCATGAATTACAGTACTACTTAATACCCTATGAAGACGCTTTAAAAACAACCTTGTACTTTAAGTCCTTTTTTTTTTTTTTTCCCCAAACATTCTGTCCAAAGGATTAATGTTCTATTTGAATCAAGTGCCATCCAAATGTTCAAGTCAAAAATATTTATACATTTATACTCAGTTGTTTTTATTATTTATTAATTATTTTATTTATTTATTTTTCTTTATTCTTGTCTGCTAAAAATAGTATTGCAAGTTTTGGCTTTTTTTCTTTTTTTTTTTTTTCTTTTTTTCCAACCTTGACATAAAAATCACGATTTTTTTTTTTTTTTTTAAATTTTTTTTTTTTAATTTTTCGTGTGTGTGCAAAACGCTTTTTAACAGTGGAAGAAACTCGAGGAGGAGCGGAGGGGTTTTCCAATGTGAGTGTGTCCCACTCGTCCCCTCGCTCGCTCCCAGCACGGTTTGGAGAGCAGGAACACTTGGAACAGCAGTTGAATCCCGGGATGGCTGCGGGGGCAGGAGGGGACAGCTGGGGACACTCTGGGGACACCCCGGGGCTCAGCCCGGCTTCCCACGGCTCCTTCTCCATCCGCAGCGAGCCTTTCCCAGCCCTTTTCCAGCGGGATCCGAGCACAGCCCGGGGGCCAAGGGCTGGGGCCATCCCTCGGTGCCCCCGCGGGGCTCTCCCCGCTCCCGGGGGCAGCTCCAGCTTTGGGATCGGCTCCCACCCCGCATCCTCCGGGGAACTTCCAGAGGGAAATCCGGGCAGCCCCGGGAAAGGTCGGGAATGTCCCCGTGGGACAGCGGGGGTGGCGGAGGGTCATGCAGCCCCTCGGCAAAGCGGTGTTAATTAGCGCTAACGAGGAGGAGAGGAGCTGGTCCTACGCTGCTGGGGAACTCGGGTGCTTTTACACTCTGCGCTCGTTAAAGGTGCTTGGTACAACTTTAGATATAGAATATACAGGTAATATTGCTAATAGTCAAGCATAAGAATAAAGGTGCAGACATACCATAAATACTGATGCTCTGATTTTACACTGTCAGACCTAGATGAATGCAGTTTCCTATTCACATTATAAAGCAGCCCCAAAATTCTAGAATTTAAAATAGTGTCGTAAACAAAGAGGAGGAAGGAGTCGGTTATGATCTGATCTTCTTAATCTGTTTTCCTTGGAAAAAAATGATCAAAAAATTCTAAGGCACTCAGGAAAGCCGCATACAATCGATGGACTGCTCTGTTCTCACCTTACATTCAGTTTTAAGGGGTTAATTTTTTTTTTTTTGCTTTTTTTTGTTGTTTTCTTTTTTTCTCGGAAGAATACAATCATTACCATATAACATTTTCAAACATATCATTAATCCTCCACACACAGGAAACATTAGTGCAAAATGCTTGCCCTCATCTACCAGATAAGGAAAAACCCAACGCCCTTCACATTTTAGAAGTTTGCCTTCCTAATAACAATAATAATAATTAACAAAACAAACCCAAATCAGGAAGAAAAAAAAAAAAAAAAAAAGGAAAGGAAAAAAAAAAAAAAAAAGAAAAAAACCCAAAAATATACAGGAAGTTGTGCTAGGTATAAAAATATATATTTTCACTGTGCAACTTGACTCTCTCCAGACTCTCTGTCCTAAGCCATTCAAGTACTTTGCTGCTGCCCCCCCGGTGGCCCCGCCGGCTGTCTGGGAACAGGTTTGGTCCAGAATAAATCCCTCCAGCCAAGTGCAGCCCCCGGCTGGGGGGCTCAGCCTGCTCCCCACCCCCAGCAAGTGCCAAAAAGGAGGAGGGAGAATCCTCTGCAATATCTTTTCTCTCTATATTTATATTTATATATATGCACACAGACACACACACAAGGGACGACTTTTGATCTCTGGCACCCGGAGCCGCTCCCAGCTTGCCTCAAACTTTTGGCAAACCCAAAGATTTGGGGATCAGGAGGGTCCTCAGCCAAACCTGAGCCCCACCAAGCTGGCTGAGCTGCTCTCCAGCAGGGGACAGGGACACCCCAGGGCCGAGGAATTGCTCCGTGTCCCCTGGGATGGCTCCCCCCGAGCTCAGCCCGTGGTCCCCGGGTTTGTTTAGTGGGTAAAGTGCAAATAGAGCCGTGCCCATTCCCACTTCTCTGAAGCATCCCAAACCTCTGCACCTGCACCAGCCCCCAAAACCTGGTCTGGGGTGTCACAGTCTCCCCCAAAAAGCTGTGCCAAAACCCAACGTGGGGCAGGATCCCCCCCATCACTGATTTGTTGTGTCAGGAGCAGTGGCACAGGCTGGGCAGCCTCGTTATTTACGATGCAAAAAACTGCTTCAAGTATCAAAGAAAACAAAACAAACGGCCAAAAGTTGGGTTATCCTCTCCCCGCTCCCCCTTTCCCAATGGAAATACAAAGAAGGAAGAAAACCCTGAGCAAAGCGCTGTCTGGATTAGGGAATCGAAGCAGGAAAGAAAAGAGGAGCACAGCCACAGCAGCCAAAAAGTGACTCTTAGTGCACCTTGTTCCTAGTCCCAAACGTGTTAAAGAACAAGCTGCAAGTGTCATTAAAGCAGGTCGTTAAGTCACAGTAAAAATAATCATCATTGAAAAAGGAAAAAAAGGAAAAAAGCCAGACTTGGCTTTCACATCACTGTCCCCATCCCTTGGGGGCAGCCCAGCAGTGCCATCCCCCTGGGACCCCCAGCCTGGCCCCAGCCCTCCAGGGGAAGCTGCAGCACCCTGGGTCTGTGGGACACATCCCGGTCGCTTTGGGGTTTGGAAAGGTGAGGGACAGAGCAGGTACCTGCTGCCCATCAGGCTCCAGGGACACCCACAGTCCCATCCCGAGGCCACCAAAGCCACCACAGCCTGGGGACATCAGCCTGCAACAACAAAAATAAAGACAAATAACTCCACATTGGGTTTTCCCCAGAAGGGGCTGCGGGAGGGTGAGCAGGAGGCAACGCGCTTCCTCCTCCCCAAAACCTCTTCACAGAAGGGCACAATGCTCGTTTTTTCCTTTTAATTTTTACATCCAATACACTCCAAATTATTAAAAAGCGGGAGCCTGGATGGCCTGGGGAGGAGGAGGGGGTAGAGGGTGAGCTCTGCACGCACCGAGCTCTGCCTCCGGTGCGGATCTGCCAGGAGCCAACACCAAAAGCTCCCGACTCTGTGCCCTTTGGAGCCAGAAGAACGGTGCTCTCCACGCTCAGATTCCTCCCCAAATCCCTCCACAGGCTGAGGGGGGCTCCTCCCCTCCCAGGAGGTGCACCCAAGGGAGGGCACAGAGGGGTGACACGGCCCGGCCGCCCAGGAGCGGGGACGTGAAGGTGCAAACACGGAGAAGGAAAAGAAAAGGAATCGCTGGGAGGGAGGAAGGGAGGGAGGGAGGGAGAGAGAGAAACCAAACCCAAACCCAGCCTGGCAAAAACCAGACCACAGCCACAACGGCGGCCAGGCTCTCCACCTGCATCCCACAGCCCTCCCGACACGCGCCAGCCTGAACTCCCGCGGAATCCAGGGAAAACTCCCCGGGACAACAACGGCCAGGGCTCCCCCTGACTCCAGAGGGGTCTGGTCACGATCACTGTCACCATTTCCCCCAGCCCATCCCACTTGGCTCCAGCCCTTCCCGAGACAAACACGGCCAGTCACAGCACCTGCACCCCAACACACCTCGCTTTCCTGGTCAGTGACAAAACTCTCCTTAGAGGACAAGGTTAACCATGGCTTTACTTCTGAGCTGAGTGATGGATGGGGTGATGACGGGGTGGTGGTGGGTGGGGGGTGGCTAGCTTTTCTCCTCCCCTTCTTAAAACAAACAAACAAACAAACAAACAAAAACCCGAAAAAAAAAGAAAAAAAAAAAAAGGAAAAGAAAGGAAAAAAAAAAGCACAAATCTTATAGAC